AGAGATGGGTTGCATTGGTATTGTTCTCTGACACACACCCACACATATATACATGAGTGTGGCAAATTTTTCAAAATTGGTGAGGAAGGCAATTTGAAAACTACATTGTTGACTGGTTTGAGTTGACTTCAAATCAGAATAAGCCTGAAGTGTTACTTTTATACGCGTTCTCTCTCTTTTGAGCACCGTGGAGTCCTTTTTTCTTGGCCAACCTTTTTTCTTTTTTTGATAAAATAAGTTATACAACTAAAGTTATAAGAGTTTCGGGGGAACGGGGAATAAATAAAACATCAGTTTTGTAGAGGGAATTATTAGAGTAAGATCTAAGTAGTACAGTGACATCCTTTTCCAAGGTGCCACAAAAGTCAGAATGGGCAAGAAAACTATTTAACAGATTTTTCTTGCATGTGATGACATTGATGTGGCTCAATGGTGCAGAGAATGTTTGAGGAAAAGCGTTAATCTTAGACAAGAAATGCAAAATAGAGTAGGGGTAGAAGAATGTTGTTTCACCCATATGAACGATTGTATTTCACAGTGACCAAGGAAAATTGTGGCTATGCAAGAGGTATGCCTTCTAGACTTAACCGATTGTCCAGCCCTGCTGATTGAAGAATATAGCGGGGATTGCAACAGGGCAGAATAGTTGTCTGAATTGTATTTATAGCATGTATTTTTTCTCTCTTAGCATTTATTGTACGTGTTTATATGTAACTATGAAAGTCCATGCCTGTGCACGTGTTTGAAAAATTTTTGATTTATAATGAATTTCTGTCCAATTGGTGGCTCAAGGAAGCAAATGCTTTACCCCACATGTTGGGATATGCTCAAAGGCAGTTTCGTGAAGACATGCTTTGTTGGCAAGAACGGAGTGATTGAGAAATTGCAGAAAACTTGAAGGGAAGCTTCATGTGTTCTGATTAGTGATGAGTTTGAAGTTCAATGGGAGAGGAAGAGAATTCCTACACGAGAGTATTGTTGACCGAGTTAAGTTGACTTTTTTAGGGCGTATTTGGTTGGAGAAGAGGAGTATTTGGTTAAAATTTTTTGGAGGGGAGTCCCTCATTTTGGGTCCTTCCAGAGGTGAGTCAAATTTATTGACTATTTTGTTCTTATGATATTTGTAATATTTTATCAATGCTCATGAGAAAAATAAAAATAAACTTCTCCAAAGCAAACTAATTTTAAATAATTTGCCTTTATGATTTTTGTGATATTCCAAGTTTTAAAATATATTGTTATATTAATTAGAAATAAAAAAATCATTATATCAGTATTTTACATGTATTGACAATGTGTTGGAATGAGAATGAATTGTAATAAATTATGCAGTTTGAATTAAGGGGTAAATTAATTTATATAACATAAATAAAAATAATATATAAGGGTAGAATAATAAATTAATCATTGCTTCCTTCTCTTCCTCTCTTAAACTAAATAAGGGATCATTAAAAATCTTTTCTCTCCACTCCTATCTCGGTGCCAATTTTTTTCTATTGGATAGCTAAACATGAGCCAAGGTGGACCCTAGTTTTTTTTTTTTTGGCCCAAACTAAGGCCAACACCTTCAATAGCAATTCATTTTCCTTGAATGAAAAGGCAAATTCACAGCTTGGAAATTAAAATACAAATAAAAACAAGAGAACAATTAAATTGATCCATCTTTATCCATTTTCAAGAGTATAACAATGAGGTGGGATCAACACCAAGTTGTCCTCGTAGTAGCGCCATTCATCATGCTTGGATGAAGTCCCAAGCTTTAGCTTGGTGTTAATATGTTTGTGTGCTTGTGTTTAATTGTAGAAAATTAAAAAAAAAAAAAAAACTGAGTTGGGGATTCTGAAGAATAGGCATGTCCTCATTCTGATGATAGGCTTCCTTAACCAGGAAATTAACATGGATAATCTTGCGTGGCGTTTAACTCACTTTGATATCCCAGTAGTAAATCACACTCCTTACCTCATTGATCTTTTGTTCTCAACGGATGGTTAGCTCCTATCCATCTAACATTATTAGCTGCAGAACTTTCAATAACTATTCATCTACATTAGGAAATGACACCAGCAAATTGCAAGACTTCAGCCCACGGATTGGTTCCTTTCAACTGCATTTTCTCTTCATTGTGAATGATTCCTATGTAATTATGAATCATTCATATCAAATTTTAACAGTACACATTAATACTGTTAGTTTTAAGAACCATCCCATCAAATTTAATTTGACAGTCAAAAAGTCAATTCAAAATTAATGAAGAATTCCACTGTAAACTTATGATTTATTTATCATATTATATTATCATCAAAGACTTGTATGTTTATTATATTTTAATCAAGTAATATAATTAAACCAAAACAATTTCCCAAATTCTTTTCTTGCATAATTATGCTTATTCAACAAAAATGAAATGTCATGTTCTTTTCTTTTTCCCTTTTGATGAAGAACAAAGGAAAACTAAAACTTAACAGAAACAAAGAAAATAAGAACAGGTCTAGCCAAGTCCTAATGTGCATTTCAATAGACTGGGAAACCATACAGCCCTCCTAATGTCCATGAGAGAATGTGAAAGATTCCTGGCTGTGAAACTTTGCTCAACATTCCACTGATTGAGTGAGCATGCTCAAGATTCCTCTGCTCAAAATTGATGTCAGAGGAAGTGCATGCTGTAATAAATTTCAAATGACTTCAAGATGTGGAATGAAAAAGGAACCTTCGATGATGAATGCCTTGCCACAAATTAGTGAAGATTAATGGAAAATTTTCTGGCTTAAAGACAGTTAAGTTAGTTAAGGGATGTTAGTGGTCAAACATTGTAAAATTAAAATTAGTTTAGAAGCATGTACGGATGAAAGAAATGAAATACAATCTTACTTTGCTCTCATTTGCTATCTTTCTGTTCTGCGTATGCTTCTGCAATGTCATGCAGTCATGGTACCAGAGTAATTCCTGTCTGTTCTTTCTTGCTGCACCTTCTCGAAGTTTGTTAATGGCACAATCTTGTCGTAAGGATATGGACCCTATGTACCGAAAAAGGGAAACAATGTTGTAGGTGTCTGGTTCACTTTCAGATGGATGTGGAATCCGCTTGGAGAAATAATGACATGCTTTCTTCTGTGGATTCTTGGATTGTTTCAAAAGAAGAGATGGTGTCCTTATCATTTGGAAGCTCATGAGAGCGTTCAGTGACCTCTTAATAAGCATTTTGTGTCTTTCTCAGCGCTTCTAGCTCTGTTGAAACCTCTCTTACTGTAGGTCTCTTCTTCCTATTGAGTCTCAAGCATCTCATTGCAAGATTTGCAATGACAAGAATATCATCTTTCCCTCCTTCATGAACAACCCTAGCGTCTAAGAGAGATTTTTTGGACAAAAATTTTAGAAAAGATGATTTGTTTATGACATTTAGGGATACCACTAAGAGAGTTTTTTTTTTTTTTGGGTACAAAAGATAGAAGCTGAAAATAAATTAGAACACTGGGGATTGAGATCCCAAAGCCTCTTTATCTAACGCCAAGAGAGATTGTTTCTTATAAAAAAAGATAGAGGGAGTATTAATATATGGAACCCATTTTCATTCAAATACTTGTACTTAAATTTGTAAATTTGGGTTCTGAACGACACTCAAAGAACCCAAGTTTACAGGTCCCAATATGTGAATTCACTACACTGCAAATTTAACAACGTCAGTATGGCTATTTTTTTTTTTTTTTTTTTACCAGAAGTCAGTATGGCTAATTCAGTTATCAAAATTTAAGGGTTCCCCCCCCCCCCCAAGTTGTAGAGAAGGACTTCAGTTCTTTATAGTAATTTGAGAAATCCAGCCATTCAACACATGAAATAACATAACTTATGGTTTTGGTCCTTTCAGCATAATTTTGTCTAGAAACAATTATGAGGTCCTCGTGGGGTCCATGACAGCAAATAATGGAGTCATTAAGAAATTGCAGAGAGAAGAGCAGAATGTGAACCTGAAGGGAAGCTTCATGTGTTGACACTACAGAGGAGTTTAAAATTGAATGGGAGGGAGAGGAGAATTCCAACACAACAGTATTGTTGACCGACTTACATTGACTTCAAGCTCAAGGTGGGCGCTCAATTGTTTTTCAGACGAAGGCCAACAATCTCAATAACACGTCATCTATATGACCAAATCAACTACATTTTTTTCCCTATTATATTTTATAATCAAGTAATATGATTAAAAAAAAATATTAAAAAACTCCCTTTTTTGGTATAATTATGCTTATTCAACAACAAGAATCATGTTCTTTTCTTGTTCTCCGTTGATGAAGAGCAAGAAAAGACTCATTGATAGAAACAAAGGAAACTAAGAGCAGGTCCTTTTTTTTTTTCTTTTGACCAGAAACTAAGAACTGGTCTGAACCTATGCTCAAGATTCCATTGCTTGACGAGCTGTATAATGAGCATATTAACTGCATTTTCTTGTCCTAAATGCAAGAGTTAGTTGAAGAGTTTGTCTTTGTCCTAAATATAAAATAGACTTTGTACTGATCAAGTGGTAACTTGTACCATCTCATCCTTTCCCTTAGCCCAGTCTGTGACTGGCCTGTGCAGGAATCAGAGATGAGTTATTAGAATTTCATGGGCAATGGAATTTCCATTGATGCTGCGACTTCCTTGCCGAGCATTGACTGGGAAGAAGAGATAATTATAGCGACTAATTTATACATTTTTTGAAGTCTAAGGACCTTTTTGTGAACCAGAGGGACCGATTAATTAATTTAATTTCTCAGTAAACTATCTTCAGTATGTCTTAACCAAAATTATAATGGCGATCATTATGAAAGTACTCTAGCCATGAATATCACTAGGACAGTGACTAGGAGCTGGTTTTTGTCTTGTGGGGTGTGGGCAAGAAAAGTTTATTTCAAAGGAAGCCCATGCTGTAATAATTTTCAAATGATAACAAGAATGCAAAATGGAAAACGGACCTTGCATAAAGAATGCCAAGCCATCAATTGATGATGGTTAATGGAGGGAATTGGTTGATTCACGAGTCAAGCACAGCATTGGAAAAGTGGAATTAGTTGAGACTGTGAACTACATATCTGAATCTGAGAATGTCCTCTACATTAAAGCATTGAAATAAAAGCTTATGTTTTTCTAATTTACTATCTCCCTGTTCTGCATGCTTTTGTAATGTGACGGTATCAAAACAACCAACCTTCATGTCTCTGTGTTGTGAGTATCTGCTTCACTTTCAGGCGGATCAAACGATGATGTATTTTCTTCTTTGGGTTCTTTATCTGATTTGAAAGGATTGCCATGCTTAACCGATTTTCTGTCATGTGAAAACTCAAGAAAACGTTCAATGATCCTTAATGTATTTTGTCTTTCTCAGTGCTTCTGGCTCTGCTGAAACCTCTCTCACTGTGTGTCTCTTGTTCCCTTCTAGTGTCAATCATCTCAATGCGAGAAGATCATGCGTCCTTCCATCGAACAGCTCTAGCCTTCATCAAAGAAATGAATTCTGCAATAAGGTTTTGACCCTGATTTTATTATGAGAAGTTAATAGGTTTCCCTCCAGTAATGAGCTTTAGAAGGATGTAAAATGAAAAATGAACCTTCCATAATTAATGCCTAACCACAAATTGGTGAAGATTAATGTAGGGAATGAGTTGATCCATGAGTTAGTTAGGTGGTTAGGAGAATTTTCTAACTTACAGACCATTAAGCCAGTTAAGGGATGTCAGTGGTCAAACATTGTAAAACTGAAATTAGTTGGGCAACATGCACTCATGAAAGAAATGAAATACAATATTACTGTTCTCGCATCAGCAATCTTCCTGTTCTGCATGCTTTTGTAATGTGATGGTACCAAAGCGACTGACTTTCCTGCCTGTTCTTTCTTGCTGCACCTTCTTGAAGTTTGCCAATGGCGCAATCCTGATCTAAGGATATGGACCCCATGTATGCAAAAAAAGAAAGAATGTTGCAGGTGTCTGGTTCACTTTCGGATGGATGTGGAATCCATTCCGAGAAATAATGACATGCTTTCTTCTGTGGATTCTTGGATTGTTTCGAAAGAAGAGATGGTGTCCTTATCATCTGGAAACTCATGAGAGCATTCAGTGATCTCTAAGGCATTTTGTGTTTTTCTCAGTGCTTCTAGCTCTGTTGAAACCTCTCTCATTGTGGGTCTCTTGTTTCTATTCAGTCTCAAGCATCTCATTGCAAGATTTGCAATGCCAAGAATGTCATCTTTCCCTCCTTCATGAACAACCCTGGCGTCTAAAATCTTGAAAACTTGGTCCTTCTTCATCAAAGAAATGAATTCTGCAACAAGATTTTGACCCTCAGCTTGTTCCAAGAAGGGTTTTCTTCCAGTAATGAGCTCTACAAGTACAACCCCAAAACTATATACATCACTTTTATCAGTGAATTGGCTTGATTGGAAGTATACAGGATCAAGGTACCCAAAAGTGCCTTGTACTGCTGTGGTTAAGTGAGTCCTATCATGCGGAACGGATCTGGAAGACCCAAAATCAGAGACTTTAGAGTTGTAATTATGATCCAGGAGTATGTTGGAAGCTTTGATGTCTCTATGGAAGATGGGAATGGAAGCTGCAAAATGCATATACGCCACTGCCCCGGCAACCTCACAAGCGATTCTAAAGCGGTTGTCCCAGGAAAGTTTTGATTTAAGCTCCTCGTTATGGATGTGGTGAGAAAGTGTTCGATTGGGAATAAACTCATAAACTAATAATGGGTCTTCAGTCTCTAGGCAACAACCTAGGAGTTTAACAATGTTCCTGTGGTTTATTTGGGATAGAATCACCACTTCATTAACAAAAGATTCAATCTGGTTTCTTGCAATGTCTCTGGACTTCTTAACTGCAACAATGGTACCATCTGGTAGCATTCCTTTATAAACGGTTCCATACCCACCTTGACCAAGAAACCTACTTTGATTATAGTTATCTGTTGCTCGTTCCAGTTCTTCTGCTGTAAAAAGTTTTGCAATTTCTCTATTTCCATAATTTGACATCTTTTCTTCCAGCAGAAGGCCACCATTTTGCCTAAACAACTTTTCCTTACGAACTCTTTCTTGCTTTCGTTTTATGCATTGATGTGACTTGTAGCCCAAAAGAAATAAGCACAAAAAGATGGCACCAGTACCAACACCTGCAAATATATGAACAAAAGTGCAACAGAATAATTATGTATTTCCAGACAAGAGATTTTGCAGAGCATGGTACATAGCTATCAAACAGTACTTGGACACAGAAATTTATGAATGATATTGATTTGATCAGCCACTCGAGCAAGGATGAGAGAAGATTAGGTTGTGACTTGTGAGACAATAGCTAGTTTGGACAGTTAAGATATCTACTCGGTATGTGTTTTATTTATTATATAAACGAAAAGGCTAATAGATTAGGCATATAGAAATTATGTGCATCACATGTCTTTCCGAAATTCCTGCTTTGAAACTTCATACTACTAAAGGTTATTTCCCATATACCCAACAGCAAACAAGTGAGAGTCAATATCATTTTAGGGGAGTGAGATTCATAAACATTTTTGGAAACAACTATATCTTCTGCATATTTTCCTATGATAACAGGTTGACGTGAGTCGCAATCATGCTTAGCTAAGAACATGGTTATCTGGAAAGATCTGAAAAGAGATTTACCTATGGAAGCAACCAATCTTACAGGGAAACGGTTTGCATGTGGTTGAAGATGACCACAATTGGGAGGTTTGAAACTTGAATTTGAAAGGTAAAGCTGAAAGAATGAACAGGAGCAGTAGAATATATGTGGATTGAGTTTACAGGAAGAAGGCTTAAGTGGAACTAAAATAGGTGTCAAAGCAGAGATAGTGGCATTTGAAGGCAACTCATTAGCAGTTATCAAACTGTGTTGATCCACACCATAGGACTCTGCAACTGATTCAAGCGTATCCCCATAATCAAGGGTATGAACCAGCAAGGAAGAGACCCCATCTGAGATCTGTCTCTCTGTGGGACAAGCACACAGCACTGGAACTGAAACTTGAGCTCCAATACTGATATTGACAGGAAGGTAATAATTCTGACGTACTAGCATCTGGCAATTGACAAGGCCTTGATAAGTCTTGTTGGCCAATTTGAAGTAGTAGTCTCCTTTTTTCATCTCATAAGAAGTGGCATGCTGGTAGATATTGCCTGAACATGAACAATACACAGGAACAATCACAGTCCGATTGGAAGGAATATTGCTGTTTATGTTATTGCTTGAGATGTTGTTGATGGAGGCTATGGAACTTGCTTCTGAGCTAAGAAGATTGGCGATGCTTTGAGGAGTATCGTATGGAGGCCTTGATCTGAAAGTTACAAAGGAAGTGCATGACTTTTGGAGGCCATTGCAGACATATCCTGCTTTTGCTGTGAGGTTGAAATTGCAGTCATAGACTGTGTTGTTAAGGTATTCTTGTTGGCAGAAACAATGGAGAGTTGCAGAAAGCAGAGACAGAAGCAGAATGTAAAAAGAAGAAGGAAGCCTCATGTCTTTAGACGAGGAAATGAGCTTCATTGGGATCAATCATACTGTAATAAATATGTCTGTGTAGGTTGAATATGTTTGATATTCCATTTGAAGGGAAGAGAATTCCAACATAACAACATGGGCGGATTTAAGTTTGACTTTAAGGTGGCTCTGTGAATGACTTTTCAAAATGACGGCACACATGTCATGTAATAAATCAACGATCAAACGGGAGATAATGACACTTGCAACTGTATTTGAATATGCGTGTGAATCATTTGTTATTATCTGAAAGCTTAGTTTCTTTTTTTAAAAAAAAGATTTTGAAGCATCAATATATTACAATTAATGGGTATTTGAACATCTACCAAAAGTCAAAATGCCATGGAGGAGGATCATCTAACATATTTTATGGATGTTATGCATTTATACTTGCACAATCCCAAAATTATATGTGATGCCTAATATAATTTCATAATCAAATACGGTGGTTGAATGAAGAAACTTGATTCTATTTAAAAAAAAAAAAAGTGGAGAGTTTGAATCATTTTCTTTTTTTTGAAAAAAGAAAGTATGTTGGGAGAGCTACCTTTAATTAGGCGCCATAACACTTAAATATGACGTGATAATATCATATATAATCGTATAAAACATGTGTATGTGTGCGTAAAATAATACTGCCTTCGATCCTAATTATAAGACCCAGTTGACTTATTTGAGGAGATTAAGAAAGTAAGTTAAGTTAGTTATTTGTAATAAATAAGTATTGTCATTCCTAAAATATTCTTGCTAATTAAGTGTATTTGCTAAAAATATCATTATTATAAGGACTATCTTGGAAAAAAAAAATGCATAAATATGAAAGACAAAATAGATTGGGGTCTTATAATTAAGACCAAACAAAAAGTCAAACAGGATCTTATATTAAGAACCGGAGGTAGTAATTATCTACTCACACGTGTGACGTCTACTTATTTTTATTTTTATATATTCCTAATTTGATTTGTTAAAAGTAATTCAAAGTAGGTACTTCAATAAAGTCATAAGTCCAAAACACCGTCGCTATTATATTCGTCTGTTTCGTCAGGAAGAAGAAACTCATGCGTCTGTTGAAGACGTGTACATCTAGATTTATTCCTCGTAATGGCCTTTTTGGTTTTTGGTATCTGCTTCTCTGTCATTCATTTTTTAATGAAATTATCTGTTTCTATTCTAAATAATCCCTTATATCTCAACTGCTCCCTCCGGTTATATTTATAAACTTTAAATTTGAGAACGATTATAGTCTATTTTACAAACTTTAATTTGAGTTTGTTTTAACATTTTGATACATATTTTTAATATTACCTTTAATTATTTTTCTATTGTCATATTTTCTCATACATTCTCTTTTATCTTTTTTTCTTATTTATTATAAAGATATACTTGAAAACAAAAATATATTTCTAACATATTTATTATTTTTAACTAATTTTTAATTATCTGTAAATTAATTATTTGAAAGTTATTTCAAACTTATAATAAAATCGAAGTGGGTATTATGATCAAAGGATTCTCATGTTGGGATGTGGGACCTATAGCTCAACATTTCCCTTAAAGTTCTCTTGAATATAAAGTTGTGAGAATAGTTTTTTAAACTTTTTAAAAATATAAGCTAATTTTAAATGAATTTTGAATTTAAATTACCAATAAATCGTGGCAATAAGGACTGGGAAATTTTTTTTTTTGCTAGGCATAATTATTTTTTTATTGAAAGCAAATATTATTAAATATTAAATATTGATATTTTTCTTAATAAAAAATTAAATTTTAATTCTCATAGGAGATTTTTTTTTTTTTTTGGGTGTTGATCTAAGAACCCCGTTGGTATCAGGAAAGCATACAATCAGTAATTACCAGACGATTGGTTTAGTTTCCAAATTCAGAAGTTTTCCTCTTTGCGTTGGAGCTGGGCATGAGGTGCTTTAAATGGACGCCAGAAAAGTTAAAAAAATGATGAAATACATATTTGCGTAAACGAGCGATCAACCAATCCGTTGTCGTCCAGCGGTTAGGATATCTGGCTTTCACCCAGGAGACCCGGGTTCGATTCCCGGCAACGGAATTCCTTTTGGGCCTTTCCCGAAATAATGTCAATAATAATAATAATACCAGGTTCCTTTGTCTCTTTGGCGAAGTTTTCTGGGTGATCAAAGTGAACCAATAAACGTTAACAATATTAAATTTATAAATAACAATATAATTTTTATTGACATTTTTTATTTGGCATTTTTAAATTTTTTCCAAATAAAAATGAATTTTATAGAAAAGAAAAGAGAACAAAAATAAATAAATTCTGGGAAAAATAACAGATAGAGAAGCTCGAAATTATGATATTTCAATTTAGGCATTTACTATTGCCAAATACAAAGTACTTGTGACAATAATCAAGACTTGTTATTTCACAATCACGACTTTTGATTCCTAGATGAATTACTGTCAAGAGCTAAAACTAATGTTATCAAAAACAAGAGCTGAGGCCAAAGTAAAAAAATTAATTTATTTGTTTTTTTTTTTAACTTTATAGTGTTAACAAAGCTTTTTTGCTTAGTGGTAACCTTTAATTTTGAGAACCGGTTAGTTGGGGATCAAATACCACTAACCTCGCCAACAGGATTGGATCTAGTAAAAGGGACTAATCTTTCATAATGTAATGAACCAATGCTCAAATTTCTACTGAGAGAGTTGCCTACATTTAATGTTCGATAGTACTTCAAATAGAATTGCCTCCAATAAGAGGATACCTATGCTTTAATGTAAAAAAAAAAAAAAAAAAACCCCCACTAACTCCATTTCCTCCCTTTCAAAGGAGAGGGGAAAAAAAAAAAAAAAGCTCCCACACTAGCCACCTGGCCAATGCCAAAGTTTGGACAATTCCAAACTTTTAAGGAAAAAACAACAGAGTATTTTTATTATTTTTCTTGAATTTCAAAATTTTAATTTGATTTTTTTTAATCCTGTCATTTTGAAGTTTTAAATCCTTAAATTAGAATATCATAATTTCAAGCTCTTTTATTTGTCATTTTCCCTAAATTCTGAGTAAGCAACAATCAGCCTTTTGTAAATTGTGTATACTACTTTAGATGCCTTTTGTTTAATTTTTAAGGTAAATGTGCAATTTTATGCCTAATTTTTTTAGTTGAGCAATTACACCCATAAATTTTTTTTATGCAATTTTACTCTTCAGGGGTACAATTATACTTAATAAGATCATAATAAAATTGCACTACTAAAAATGTTAGAGATAATATTACACCTAAAAAAATAAGATTAAGATTAAAATTACCTTTTTATCTTTATTTTTAGGTAAATATAGGGGGACATCAAGAGTTTTAAGTATTACATAAATTATGAGTGTTATTATATAAATTTTGGGAAATAGGGGGGGGGGGAACCATAACGATCATATCTAAAATAATAATAAAAAAAGAAGAGAAGTAAAGTAACTAATATCCAAAAAAAAAATTCTCACGATTTAGAGGAAACGTGGGTCTTCAAAGCCAATTAACAGGACATGATCCCTTATAAGTTATAACATTTAACTACTCATCACTTATATTATTATAATATGATTTGTTACTGTTTTTACATCTATCTTTTCAAATAAATTGATTCATTTAAGTAAATCGAATGATCAAATCTTATTTTAGATAATTATTTTTTCTTTAGCATATAACAAATTTGATGTAAAATATAAAATTTATGCACACTTAAAAATATAGAATTTACAACAATCAGACTGTTGAGAGTATTTAAAAAAAACAAAACCATTGATAAGATTTGCATGACACACAAGTCCGCCTAGGCTATTGTAAAATTTCCCATACCTTGAAAAGGCATGCCCAAGGGAATACAATCCGACACTATGTATGCTTGTACGAATGGATATAACATTGTAAATTAATTTTTAAAAGAAAAATCTTAAATTTATAAGCACAGAACGATCCGAGAAAAAAAATGATTTGGATTATATACGTCGATGAAAAAATAATGAGCACCTGAACAAAAAGTACATAACAATGCAACTCAATTGAGCTTAAATGATCAGAAGGACCAACTAGAGCGTAGCATCAAACAACTACTTTAGAATTCCCAGCAGCCGCATAAGCGAGACCTGGCTTCAAGCAGAGAATTATTACCCAAGTTAAATTTCAGATAGGATTCAGCCTGAAAGAGATCCCCGGTTAATGAATCTCCAATCATACCATTAAGGCTCATTCCCCAGCCAAACGAATCTTCTGAGACATCAGACACACTCACTCCCCATTGAACATTTGACCTGTTCCATCTCAACCCAACCTCCAATCTTTGTGATATCATCAAGTTCTGATTCCAATGCAAGGGCAATCGATCTAGTGGAGACACGTGTCTTTGTTTCCGACCAAGGATATACTCCATAGACAGTTTCAGGTACTTCTGGCTCTGCTTGTTCTGACGTGAGTATTGGAAATGCAAGAGGTCCAAGTTTTGATGGTTTTCTGCTGATGAGAGTGGAACTTGGTAGAGACCCATAACAGATAGCTTCGTTCCTCTGGGTAATTGACATGAAAGTTCAGTGAAAGTGCTGGACCAATTCTCACTTGCATTAGGACCTAATGGCATTCCAAGTCCGGATACAAATTGAGCCAATGAAGCAACAATATTTGATTTTCTCACCATCATGCTGATGGCACTACCATTCTGCAGATTCAGTAGTGGTGGTCCAGCCGAGGAAACGTCTGTAAGGCCCTTCCGTGCTTGATGCACAGAAACACATGAGGCAATTAGGGCCCTATAAACAAATGATAGCCAAAACCAGATAAAATAAAAAAAAGAATATAGACAAGTCCTTTTTGCATGAATATACTTTCACTCTAAGAAAATTTTTCAGTTTATATAGGGAGGTAAAGAAGACAAATCAGGAGAAAAAAATTGTATGACTTTAAAGTCATGTCAATTGCAAATGCAAAGATATATTTACATTTGGTTACTCCAGATTAAAT